TTATTATTGTTGTTATTATTATTATTATTATTATTATTATTATTATTATTATTATTATTATTATTATTATTATTATTATTATTATTATTATTATTATTATTATTATTATTATTATTATTATTATTCGCGAGGTTTTACGTGACAAAACTCCGATATGATTGTGAGACAAGCTGTGGTGGAGAGCTGAAGAAATTTAGAACATGTTATACCAGGATTACGGAGTGAAGCTGCTTGAGAGGCAGCAAATTCAAGCAATATATTCACTATTTTTGTCAAAAGAAAACTGAAATTTGTCTTTACAGCAAGCAAAGGCAGCTGGTTAACGAACTCAACACGGAGGCTATAATACCTAATCCCCTCACTCCATTCGATCACTCTCAAGGTTCACTACCTATTTTAGCCGTGACCCGCCATAGTGGCTCAGTGGCGGCTACAACGTCTTGTCCCTGATCATAAGTTGCAGGGGTCGATACCCGAACGTGGAGGCCGCATACCGAGGAGGAACGTAGAGGACGTATTTGCACCTATATTATGGGGCCCGCCATAGACTGTTTACAAATGTTGTGTGATTCCTTTTGTTGCGGCCTCCACCACGGCCCCACCCCGCCGCGGTGGCCAAGTGGCTAAGGTACTCGTCTGCTGACCCGCCGGTCGCGGGTTCGAATCCCGCCTGCGGCGGCTGCATTTCCGATGGAGGCGGAAATGCTGTAGTCCCTTGTGCTCAGATTTGGGTGCACGTTAAATAACCCCGGGAGGTCGAAATTTCCGGAGGCCTCCACTACGGCGTCTCTCGCAATCATACGGTGGTTTTGGGACGTTAAACCCCACATATCAATCAATCCACCACAGCCCCCTTATGATCCCTCGAGATGTCAATCCTCCTAAATATCTCATCTAGTAATTTGAAACATAATCAGCCACTATAGGTGTCATTATTACAGCTTCAAGCTTTTAATGCAGACGTTCATCGCTCCCACCGTTTTTATGTAGCTTCTTTTTTTTTTTTCCTGGAAGTGGCCTACTGGGCTGGTGTCTGAGTGGTTTACGTATAGTTATTCAATCGGAGTGATAAAGTGCATCACGCGTAAAGCAGCTGTGAATAATTGCGGCTGAAATGAGTCATTAGGCTTAAATAAGAAAAAAATAGAAAATCTTTTGCTCTGACACAAACACATTTCGGCCTAGCTGTAAAGAAGAATTCGCTGACCGCTGCCGAAGAGGCTGTGCCCCGCAGTCACGATTATGACGTTACGACCGTTTGCGGTGTTTCGCCATGTTTTGATTTTAGCGCACTAATTACCAGCCTGATAACAAGATGTAAAATATTGAGGGAACAGCCATTTAGGTCGACGTAGGGGGAGACAGCTCACATTTAACAGAAGTGTGACTATACCTATTCTACCGACAAGCATTTCTCTGTTCTGTTGCTTCAGTATCGCCCAACGATTCACATTTACTATGACATATACTGTGGGCGACTTGATGTTATAACAGTGGCAATCGTGCCCGCTCCAAAATTGAAAATCCCGGCCGGTATCGGATGGATGGATGGATGTGGCTGTACCCTTTAGATCGGGCGGCGGCTAACGCCACCTAGCCGTAATACTTGGTGAACTAACCATTACATTTATCTTTTTTTTTCCTTTAAATAATGAAGTTGAGGATTCGTACTTCGCAGTGAAGGGTTTAATTTTCACTCGTGCCTTGATTTTAGCCACCAATCAGATAACCTCCTTCTAGTTAAGTCTACCCGCTTAAAGTCTATTTTGCCCTCGCTGTCCCTAAATCCCAGTGCTTTGAAAAACTCTGCGCCATCATCCTGAACTATAGGGTGAAACCTTTTACAGAACATTATCAAGTGTTCGGCAGTTTTCTTCTTCCTCTCCACACGCACTGCATACTGTGTCTACCCCTTCGTATTTGGCCCAATATGTCTTGGTTCGCAGTACTCCCGTCCTGGCCTCAAAAAGTAGAGAACTACCCCGAGTATTATCATATATCCTTTCCTTGGCAATTTCCTGCTTAAAAGTTCGATAGATCTCTAGTGCGGACTTCTTAATCATGCCCATTCTCCACATGTCAGTGTCCGTTTCCTTCACTTTCTTCTTAACCGATAGTTCTTTTTGGATCGTACGAGCTCGCGGAACGCCCCCACCGTGCTGGAAGGGCCGGCTGGCATGGCTTGCCAGTCCGGTTGCTATTTCGAGGCGGACGGGAGGCGCTGGTTTGAACGCTCCAATCGGCCGCTGATATCGCTGTATGTATTCGTAGCGAGCCGAATCCAAAGCCGACGGGGTTCTCCAGAGTATACGCCGCTGAGCAGTCATCGGGAGAGCAAGGCGATGTTTGTTTCGAAGGCGACTGCTTATTTTTGATCCGGCCCCAGTGCGGTGTCGGTGTATAGGTTATGCGCGACCGTTTCAAACTCTTCCTGTTCGCGGATATACTCTCCGACCTCGGTCCGTTCGCTTGTTTTAGCATCGCGAGAAACACCCCATAGGACTCGCTCGTGTCCGTAAATGGGCAGTCTTTGTTTACTATTCCTCTACCTCTGTAACTTGGTCCATTCGGGCGGCTTTGTGTATACATTAGCAGAAATGGTTCGACACCAATGAAGTCGCTTTGTTTCCTCAGTGGGAACGCGTTGCTAGCGTTAATGATCTGTTCTGTAAACGCTTGCATGGTTTGAACGGAAGTTTACTGTTGAAACAAAGGGCATGCGAACAACCGTCGAAGAAAAAAAAGTCACCAGTAGCGTAGCAAAAAAAAAAAATAATGGAGGGGGAAGGGGGCAGGCGTAGCTTAACCATACGTTATGTATGTTCATGCGTGTGTGTGTGCGTGAATGTACACATTCAAAATTGGAAGATTTCTGGATGTTTTAACTCCCTCAACCGCTGCCCGCTCCCCGTACCTAATCACTAAAGTCAGAACAATTCAAACGCCGGCCTTTCTGTTTTCCTTACTTCTCGTGTGTCCGCGCACCCCGGCTTTCAACATGAACCTCAATTAATAACTCAGGTTTCTGTTATTTAACTTTCACTGACACTCAACCCGTTTCGGCCAAGCTGTGAAGAAGAATTCGCTGACCGCTGCCCACGAGTCTGTGCCCCGCAGGTATGATTGTGTACCCGCATGATTAGTTGGGAACCAGAGAATAACTACCGGAGGTTCAGTAATGCGCAAGCAAGCATAGTTAGTGAGAGTGGACTATGCTGGGCTGCGTGAAGACGGGACGAGAAAGTAAGGTGACAGACGAGCACACTCTCTTGTCCCATGTCCGTGCAGTTCACCTATATGTTACCGTCGAGACCAACATAGCAGCTATATACTTCGTAAGGGTGACTTGTCGGACAAGTTTGTGTTTCGTAATACTAAGGAAAGAAGTCGTTTCTTGAAAATAACATTGCTTGGAGTTTGAGCCGCATACATGTCTTTGCGGTGTAGTTCTTTCATTGGTTCCTTCATCCTTTTTTTTTTTCCTTTTCCTGGCATCTCTTTAGTATCATGTATATGTATGTACAAGGTTTATCGAAACCATAAAAGGTTGTAAAATTTGATTTTTTGACGAATCGTTAATTCAGTATTGGTAAAACTGTACTAGCAGGAGGATTGCGTATTGCCTTGTCATTGTCGTCCATGTCGTCGTCGTTGTTGTAGCTGTCGTTGATGTATCGTTGCCGTTGTTGTTGACGGGCTGGACATTCTTCCTGTCACTATTCATATAAGCGATGAATCGTAAAGACGTTACTGTTTCTTTACCAATTTCGAAAAACGAATTGCGTAGTATTATAAACACTACAACTTTCAGAATGAGCAAAAGTGCTTGGCTTCATTGACCAAAGTACAAAGAGCTGTGATTTATATCGCATCGATCCATTTATTGAATTCAAAATTACGCTGGCAAACAGATAGAAGTATGGAAACTCTAATTCACCGATTGAGGCTAGGCAACGCATACACAAAACATTTTTGGCACTTTGGCAGAGCTGAAACTCCCGAATGTGAATGTGGATTTATAGATGAAGACGTATGTCACCTTCCGATAGACTTTCCACATCATGACACGCCGAGACGCAGTCTTAAATCGAAACTGTTGACATCAAGACCGCAGACAATTTAGCATGAAGAAACTTTTGGGCCCGTGGCCAACTGGAGTTTTACAGTCGCACGCTTTCGAAGCATTAACACGTTTCTTACAAGAGAGCGTAATTGCTGACAAGTACTAAGAAATAACGACCTTTTATTTGTATAACGCATGTACTTATCATGTGCAGTATCACGTGACACCCATCATTTGTGTGTACTGAAGTGAATGACGTGTCGACTATTATGTACACACGAGCAAATACATCTGCATAAGGACTAGGCGTGTGCTCTGCTGTTTTGTGCTGGGTGGACCGAATATTAACGAGGGACATTATCGGAGACTTAATTCTTTGACATTCGAACATTTCCTTATCGTTTTGTTGTGATATGTGCGTATAAGTGTACCTTTGCATATCAGTGCCCGTGTGTTCTATTTTGCGTGCACTCCTTTGTATGTTTTACTTCAAGATACGTGTTCAAGTTTCACTCGAGGGCTAAGGAGTAGCCGGCACCATATTTGTGCGCCAACATCTCCCTATATATCGTGTCCATAAAAACAAAGCGATGAACTCGAGCAGTTATTGTCACTGCGTTTTGCTTATAGTCGCTCGTGCACTAATATGTATCTTCGTGCACCTGCGGTGGAGCAGTGGTTACGGTGCTCAGCTGCTGACTCGAAGGTCGTGGGTTCGATTTCCGGCCACGGCGGTCACGTTACGATATAGGCGAAGTATTAGACGCCCGTGTACTGTGCAATGTCAGTGCTCGTTAAAAAAAAAAAAAAACACCAGATGGTCGGAATTTCCAGAACGCTTCACTACAGGGTCTCATATTCATATCGTATAGTTTGGGACGTAAAACGATGGATATTATTATTACTAATATGTATATTCTTTTCTTCTCTCGCGCAGGTTCTGCCAATGCAAAATGGGGCTACAGTGGACCATTTGGTGAGTATAGAAACAACAGTGCTTGATAATACGACCAAAAAAAAAGAATAAATCAGAGGACGTGAATATCGTATTTGCTCGAATTGTAACGCGAGTTCTCTTTTCCTTTTTTCTTATTTATGCTGCCTAAAGTCGACCCTCACGTTACAGTCTAGTACTGCAATAACTATTTTTGCTCCCTGGACGCAACAAATTGTCACCCCTCATATAACGATCATGGTCGCGCTACAATCGAGTAAATACGGTATTATATCGTTGGTGCGTGCACGACCATGAGTGAATTTGCTCTCTTCGGATGCGTGTGTTTGTTTTTTTTTTATTTGCGCACATATTCGCTGTTTTTTTTTAATTAAAAGCGCAGAATTCAGGAGAATGTGGAGGCTGGAAGATTCTCGAACCCGGGTTGGCGATGAAGTTAACGTTTCTACGAGTGGCCTTGTTTTCTGCTTTGACGGCAAGACCACTTGTCGAAAACGCTGGCACGAACTGCACCACGGGTTCAAAGATATTCCCTCTGTGAGATGTTAGAGATACATTTATAAATGCGCTTGCGCGGGTGTGTGCGCGGGGGGCAGTGGCAAACCGGCCCGTGCCCCCTCCCCCGCCGAATTTTTTGTATGGCATACAGAACAAAAAATAACTATTTCAAGGAGGTAACCCCCCTCCCCCCCCCAAAAAAAAGAACATTTTTATTTTTACCTACGCCCCTGGTCGTGGGGGGGGGGGGGGTGTTATTTGAAGTGGCGCCCTAAACTCAGCGTCGTCTCCCCCGCCCTCTAAAAGTAAAAACGTAGTAAAACAAAAGAGTCAGACTGAACAGTGTCTGCTGTGAAGACGAAGCGGCAGTGATGCATGAATATTTGGAGAAAGTAATCTACGAAGTCTCAAGTGCACATCACTCACCTTCAACAATAAAGGGGGGGGGGGTGCGAGTGGATCATTTCATTTGAGCGGCCCGCAGCCCAATGAAGCCAGCCTTCATAGTTCATTTGGCAGAGCACCACACGAGTAATTCCAATGTGGTGGGTTCGTGCTTCACCGACGGCACAGTGTTTTTTTTTTCTCTCCCATTTTTTTTTTTTTGCAACTGCATTTATGTCAGCTGCAACATTGCGCTTTGAAACTACGTAAAAATATGCCATCTATGTTTTTCGAAGCTGCAATGTTTGTTGCCTTGAATGGGCTGCACTTGCAAGAATACGACGCTTAGACATCTCCGTCTTTAAAACTTCCTCATCGATCTCTTTTGTCAGTGTTGAGTTGCACGCCAGTCCTTCTAGACTGGTTAACATCCCTGCTTTTCCTTTCTCTCTTGTTGCTTCCTTGGATATCTTGGCACATTTCGAGACCACGGAGTTTACGAAGTAAATGACTACATTCCAAACATCCTCAGTTATCAAAACAAACACTGTTTTGAATGCCATGAACAGAGAAAGAAGATAAAACTAAATAAAATTAATTTAAGATGACTATTTGTTCGCTTTCTACTGCTCTCTCTCTCTCTTTCCTGATGTGCATCAAGTTCACCGAGAAATTGATTACTTCTCGGTGCAGCATTGATTCCAGTCATTTAATTGACGCAATCCATATAGTTTTGGGGGGATGTATACTTTTTTAGTGCATGGACGACTCGGAGCTTCACTTTATTCCTTTCTGACACACGCGACAATCCTCCATTTTCACTTTGCTGTGCAGCGCGCTACCCTTTTAATACGGTTCTGGCAGGGACCGGGACAACCGGTTTTGCCAAACGAAAGCCCGAATGATTAATGTGTGGGATTGAACGTCCAAAAACCATCATATGATTACGAGAGACGCCGCAGAGGAGGCCTCCGGAAATCTCGACCACCTGGGGTTCTTTAACGTGCACCTAAATCTGAGCACACGGGCCTACAGCATTTACGCCTCCATCGAAACAAAACGAAAGCCTGCTAAATGAAGAGAGACGTTTCGCAACTTTCCCGCTAGGGGAAAAAGCGCATGCGCCGAGCATTCGCGAGAAACGCGGAGTCGACGATAAGCGCGCGTGGCGCGTTGTCAGCGCGCTGGGCCACATCAGAAACAACGTACAGTAGGCCGCGTGCTCTGTCATCATCATCATCAGCAGCAGCAGCAGCAGCAGCAGCAGCAGCAGCAGCATCAGCCTGACTATGTGTACTGCAGGACAAAGGCCTCTCCCATGTTCCGCCAGTTAATCCGGTCCTGTGCTTGCTGCCAATTTATACCCGCAAACTTCTTAATCTCATCTGCCCACCTAACCTTCAGTCTCCCCCTGACCCGCTTGCCTTCTCTGGGAATCCAGTTAGTTACCCTTAACGACCAGCGGTTATCCTGTCTACGCGCTACATGCCCGGCCCATGTCCATTTCTTCTTCTTGATTTCAGCTATGATATCCTTAACCCCCGTTTAATCCACTCTGCTCTCTTCTTGTCTCTTAAGGTTACACCTACCATCTTTCTTTCCATCACTCGCTGCGTCATCCTCAATTTAAGCTGAACCCTCTTTGTAAAGTGTCCAGGTTTCTGCTCCGTAGCTAAGCTCCGAGCACTTAGCGTGCTCCTGTGCATACCTCCAAATGGATTCCGCTGCGTAAGCAAGAGAGCGCGAAGCGCGTCAGCCTCGGCAAATCTCTCTCTCTCTCTCCTCTCTCTCTCTCTCTGCCCACGAATGAGCGATGTCGTGTCGTGCTCGACGTCGATTGATTCTGGCGCGTTTCGCTTCGGCCAAACAACGTGCGCCAGAGTGTGCGTGCGTATGCTGTGCACAAAAGCGCGGTCTTTGCACGAAGCGACCACGCGCTATAGTATACGCGCACCCGACGCAGGCTGCGTCCACAAGCTGGACAAATAAATTGCGGTTGCTCGGCGGCGCGCACTGCAAACAGTCTCTCCCCCTCCTCCTTTTCCTCCTCCTCCTCCTCCTCCTCCTCCTCCTGCGTCAGCGACCACGTCTCCGCGCGGCGAACAAATGGTTGCGCGCCGCTGGAGGCACGTCGTACCGCGCACACACGCGCCGTTCAATGGGCGACGGCAAATAGGAGGATGCGGATTGGACTCCTTCATTATTGGAACATTCACAGGACCGGGTTAACTGGCGGAACATGGGAGAGGCCTTTGTCCTGCAGTGGGCTTAGTCAGGCTGATGATGATGATGATGATGATGATGATGATGATGGTGGTGGTGGGTGGTGGTGGTGGTGGTGATGATGATGATGATGATGATGATGATGATGATGATGATGATGATTGGAACAGGACGAAAAACCACGGGAAGCGCCCGCGATCTCGGAGTCTACGATAAGAGATCGCTTGGGGACTCCGGAACCGCTCCGGAGGATGAAGAGCAGCGTCACAACAAGCTATGGCGAACTAATCGATTAAAAGAAGAAGAAGAAGAAGAAGAAGAAGAAGAAGAAGAAGAAGAAGAAGAAGAAGAAGAAGAAGAATGAAAGTGACGCAGGCATGTGTTCGCGATTAGTTTATTGTAAGACGCACTAATCTGTTATCAAAATAAGAGACATTTCACAGATAAAAATAAATAATACGTATATTGTACATATGGGTTACAATCGCTGTTTGGCTAAAACAACATATAGTAGTAGTAGTAGTAGTAGTGGTAGTAGTTGTACTAGTAGTAGTAGTAGTAGTAGTAGTAGTAGTAGTAGTAGTAGTAGTAGTAGTAGTAGTAGTAGTAGTATTCAGCAGATGTTGGAGTTCCTGGTTCTAAATATGTTTTGTGGATGGACATACCTCAAAGCCAAGGCTAAGCCTGATAATTGCTGCCATACGAACGGGACTTGCAGCAGCTGTGAAAACCTACATGCACTAAATTGAATGATAATGAGCAAATTAAACATAACTTTCATTTATAAATATTCATGTGGCCAACTGACCGGTATACGTCAAGTAACAATTAGCTCGCCAAATCATACAACCGCGGAAGTGGAATTGTGTAGTATGTCTCACCTGACGTTTATGTTTTTTTCATATATTTTTAACATAACTAAATTATTAAAAACAAAGCACGTCTGGTATGTATAATTCCAGGCTCTAGTCTTGATGTGTGTGTGCAGTTATCTGGTTATCTCGTGCCAACTGGCGCTATACCAAGGTCCTTTATCAATTGAAAAACATCCCGGCGCCATTATATATACACGACGATGAGAAGCAAGTCGCAACGTGTTAGTTAGCGAATAGTCGAAACGGTGAGATCCTGCAGCATTTAGTTGATGCAAAAAAAAATAATAATAAAGATATATCCATAGCGCGTGCGGAGATTCGCTGACTTCCGTGATGAAGATAATAATCGTAAATGCTGGAGCTCTTCACGTGATAGTGGTTATTGAAAGTGAACGGAAAATAAGTTGGCAAGTAGGAATGATAAGCCCACGTTTCTGAGCGTTCGTACTTGTGTGGCACAAAAGCAGGTGCCATTTTATGGCGCAAACGCAGCTGAGATGTGTGTATGAGCTTATGTAAATACATGCACGTTGGTATGTGTGTTTGTGTTAAGTGAAATCTTCGCATATAATTTCGTCTTTTCGCGCTACCCATCCCTTTTTTCTTTATTATCTGCACGCTAATAAATAAATGCAACGAGAATTTTCTTGCTATTCTCCTGTTCTCACTTACCCTCCCTCTCTCTCTCTCTCTCTCTCTCTCTCTCTTTCTCTCGAGTGTTCTTTCATTTGGTTGGCCTATACTTACGCGCAAAGCACGGATTTCATCCTTTTAGAACAGATGTAGTTTTCAGACTTAATATAGCAATAAGTGTGAGCGTTTCGCATCCCAAAAGAGACGCCATTGTGCAGGTACCAGGAAATTTCGACAACGTGGAGTTCTTTGACTAGCGCCTGTTTCTAAGCACACCGCCCTCTATCGATTTGCTTCCACCGAAATTCAGCTGCCACGGCCGGGATTCGATCCCACGAGTTTTATATTTCAAGTACTTTGCATACTTTCAATATCCGCCTTTGTTGTGAAGTTAAGAAGTTGCAAGCTTAATACGTTTGAACCTCGAAAACACAGTTGCAACTAAAATGAGGACCTGTGCCAACAGTCTGTATAAATCATTGGATACATTTTTATTAAGCGTGTAAGGTGTATTAGGTTGCATTATTTGGTGCGCCAATAAAGCCAGTTTCTTTTTTTATTATTCAATGGACACAGACAAAGCAACAACTATGTCTTTCGTGTCGGCTGCACCCGATGCGAAGCTTTCTGTAGAGCGTAATATGCACGTCGGTTTCAGGCCGCTGCCAACCAACGTTTCAGCTGGTCCTGGCAACGAAAGTTAATTGGCGTGCAGTGTAGTGTTATTGATGATTGTTATGTGGGGTTTAACGTCCCAAAAGCAGTGTGATGTTAAGACGCATTAAATATTTCAATTCTGGAATTTTAGATCAAGATATAAATATGAGGCCTGGTGTAGTCGTAGTATGGGACTGCATCGGCATCCTAAAGGGGCCCTGAAACACTTTTTCAAGTAACCATGGAATGAATTCACTGGAAGAGCTTATTGGCTCATGACTTTAACGCCGCAAAAATTTTAAGGAACCATGCATGCATCCAGTGCGAGTGGATACAAAGGTTTGTCGCATGCTGCAATTACATTTTCTCTTCTCTCATCCCGACGAAAGCGCTGGAAGCTAAGCAGGGAGGGATGACAGGGCCCCAGAAAAAACGTCACGCGCGCTTCGTGACCTTGAGCTTTTTCTTCTTTTTTTCCCCCTTCTAATGTGCGTCTCTTTCAATGTGATTGCGGTGGACAAGTAGCGGCCTCCCATGGCAATCTCTGTAACGAGTGAGCGCGCCATGTTCAAATCAGCCAATGGCTGATAGATGGGTCGTTGACGTCTGCTCTTGGGGCACATAACGTGATTTATTGAGAGAAGAGAAAGCAATTTTTAGCTGACTTCGATAATTATTGTGAATTCCAGGCCGTGTGCTGTGCTGTAATATTTGGTTCGCTTGTTGTCGGGAGCCTTTGACTACTGATCGGCAGCGTTTTCTGGCCATGCTCAAGTGTTGCAGGGCCCCTTTAATGCGTACTAAAATCATGGGAGCTTAATAAACTAATTAACCAAACGCAAGTAAATTAGGGGATGTGCAAGAAAGTTCGCCAATGTCAAAGAACCGCAAATACGATACGCACACGCCGTCTTCCAGTCGGCACTCATTGCGAATGGCAGGAAATGCTGCAGTCTTTTCACAAGAAGCGTTGTAGCGTTTTCATTGCTTTGCGATGGACATTCAGTTGTCATGGGTCTGATGCTTTACAATTTCGTACGCATCAAAATGTTGTCCACGCATCCAGGAATCGAACGCTCACCTTCGTGCCTATCAACGCAGCGTCACAGCCGCTAAAGCGCAGCGGCAAGAATACTACAGAGAGTTTTAGCGCGGGCACTTCCACCGGATCCTTGCGTTGTTTCGTGCTTCGCTAGCCGCACACAAGGAGATTGCAATATAACGCAAGAGCGTGCGTATAACGTAAGAGCGAGCACGCTCTTGCGCTTCTTCGTGCTCCCAGCCGCATGTCCTAAGACTAAGAAGGAACGTAACGACTTGCATATACGCAAACAGCCTGGACGCACCCGCCCTGCAGTCTATCGTTGTTTTGATCGCAGGGCCCTACAACTGGCGCAACGTTGACACGAGTCCCAACGTAAACCAATGCGGAGACAAGCTGCAGTCGCCCGTGGACCTGGACGACCGCTACGCGGAGTTCGACTCCGGCCTTGGGGCAATCAGCTTCAACGGTTACGACCAGCCACTGTACAACCCGTACATCGTCAACAATGGACACACAGGTATACGCGCCTTCGAGAAAAAACAAAATTCGGCAGACCTTGCGATCTTCTGACACAAGAAGGCGAAAGCCTGGCTGCACTTGAGGCGCAACGAGCAAGGACGTGTCTTGTTGAGTCGAGCCTTTGAGCTCCTCGTCTTGCGCTTTTGTCTGTTTATGTCTCTTTCAAAAGAATGCGGACCCTTTTTAAGTATCCACTACGCCTCTGAAAGGCCATCTTTGTTGGTTTTATGGCTGATGACGATGAATTATTGCGAGTCCTTTGTAATGGGTGAGAAGCTTTACATTTCATTTCATTTCATTTTATTTCCTTAAAGACCCCTTGCGGGGCATTACATAAGGGGTGGGTACAGAACTGACTCGTGACGAAGTTCAGATTCTGTGAGTTCAGGTGCAACTGTACGCTTCTGCCGCGCAGTATTACGTCTGTAACGTCAATTCTCTACCGACATGACAACGGCATAGGGTCTTTTCCTTCTTTTTTTTTCACAGCGGTTTCAATCACTGGCATGAGTGTGTTATCGAACTCTTGAATTCCACACAGAGTGCTATGCTAGCTCGAACTCTCTTTCCACGGTCAGAGGCTTCAGAAGTCACAATTTTCAAAACCAGCTTTTGATGAGAAAGTTGCATCTCTCGCTTCAGCAACGCTAGAAATGTGGTCATTCAAGAGTCAGTGATGTTTGACACCAGCTTCGAACGATGCGGATTATGTAAGCTCATTAGGATATCCCCAAGTGTGTTTTTTTTTTTTCTATCGTCTTCTCTCTCTTTCTCTCTTTCATCCAGTTCAAGTCTCCGCGACGGAGGACTCGAACCGATTCATCGAGGGGGCTCGGCTTCCGGGCCGCTTCCAATTCGCCCAGTTCCATCTCCACTGGGGTGCGAACTCGAGCAGAGGGTCCGAACACACGGTCCGTGGGTTCCAGTACCCGCTCGAGGTAGGTGCCATCCTATCTATATCTTTGAGCATACATAGAAAGAAAAGAAAAAGAAAGAAAGGAAACAAAGAAACGTACAAACAAAGAAACGAACAAAGAAAAACGAAAGATAATTGAAGAAAAAAAGAAAGAAAAAAGAAAGAAAGAAAAAAGAAAGAGAGAAAAAGAAAAAATAAAGAAAGAAAAAAAGAAAGACGAATGCATGAAAAAATAAGAGTTCTCAAGTCGTAACGCTTGGCGTACCATAGGCGATTTTAACGACGTTTGCTGCATAAAAAACAAGGTCCAACTGTACGTTTTGTTTAGACAAAACAATTACCGAATGGCCGCAAAAAAAAAAAATTCGGGTGACTCCACGATGGATTATTGCTCTTATCGCGATGACTTCTTATTCTCTACCATGCACATATAAACTAACACACTTACAGAATCCCGATATATGTTTTCACAGCGCATTTGTCACGTTATAGACGCGAACCTCTGGTGTTTTGAGAATATCGCAACAGTGAGCCGTATTTCGATATAATAAGGTAACTGTGCAACACGGTCAGCAATATTTGATGAAGCTACGCTGCAATATTCACTGTTCCTGAATCGCCACACGTTGCTAATATTTTTTGTTGTTGTTGTTACAGCTTCATTTTGTGCACTTCAACACCAGATACGGCTCTGCCGCCGAATCCATGAAGTACGAGGACGGACTCGCTGTCGTGGCCGTCTTCTTTGAGGTTGGTCCGATTAGTGCTGTGAATTCGGGCATGCTTTCCTCTGATTGTGTCGTCGTCGTGGCATCCGGCTGCCGTGAGAAGGCTCGCTCGTTTAACGCGACCGACGCAGTCGCGTATATCTTAACACGGTGAAACCCCCAAAGCAACCGGCAGCAACTAGGGCCGCATAATGATAACATCTGAGGTTTAACGTCCCAAAACCACGATATTATTGTAAGGCATGAAGTAGTACACTGTACAAGGCTCAGGAAATTTTGTTCCTCTGGTGTTTCTTTAACGAGCACTGACTTTGCATATACAGTACAGTCGAGCCTGTACTTACAGAACTCGGAGGGGGGGGGGGGGGGAGAATTATTAAGATATATAGGACGATTCGATATACAGCCTCTATCTAAATTATTGTACTTTCAATAAAATTTTTTGGGCGCATGTTGGCTTCACGGTATGGCTTCACGATATTGTGAAAAAACACACCTTTAGGGTAACACGAGTTTTTTTATTATTGTTTCTTTTAATTTTGCACTTTCACGTTGTGTTTATTTCGGGTGACTTACTTGAACTTGTCGCGTACAAACACTATCGTCAGTTCCATGGTCTTCGGTTATTCCCCAAGGACGTGCGCAGTTTTTTTTGTCCAAAACACAACATGCTCGACAATAAATAGAAAAAAAAATGTAAATGAAGCGATGACGTGCATCTCACGATGACCCGCAACCCTACAAGCCGACCCTTCCTTCCCCAGCTCCACATCCTTCGCCGAAGCGCACGCGTAAAGGGGCTTTGGGATCTTGATTCAGCGTTGCTCGGGTGGTGCGCAGGTGAGCCCGACGCCCAACGAGGACTTGAGCGCCGTCATGGACGCCCTGAAGCAGGTGCGGCTGAGCGACGAGAAGGGATTCAACATGGCGAGCCCGGTGGTGCTGAACCGATTCCTTCCGCGCGTCACGAGCAGCTACTACCGGTACCAGGGCTCGCTAACCACGCCGCCGTGCTCGCAGGCCGTCACCTTCCTGGTCATGACCACCCCGGTGCCAATCAGCGAGGAGCAGGTACGCGCGAGTCGATACTTAGTAGCATATGTGACGCGTTCTGCATAACGCCGTTATGCGGAACATAACTTGACGGAATCATTGCATTAGAGAGAGAGAGAGATAAAGATGCAAGGAAAGGCAGGGAGGTTAACCAGACGCACATCCGGTTTGCTACCCTGTACTGGGGAAGGGATGAAGGGGATACAAGAGGTTGCCTTCATCCCTTCCAGACACGAAGACCAAATGATCTTAAAGGCTAGCAGAATGTCGTTTCTTATCCGCCTAAACGTTCATTGTGCCACACAAAAAAAAAACAGGTAAAGGAGGCTCTCTACTTCCCACTTGTAAGATCAATACTTTACTATGCGTGTGTTATCTGGGACCTGGCTCAGAAATATCTCGCAGAAACAACAGAAAATGTTCAAAATCTGCCCGATTCCTCAGCAATAACTACGACCCATTCGCAAGTATCTCAGAAATGAAGGCCACATTAGGCTGGGAAACTCTAGAAGACGAAAACATCAATTAAAACTTTTCCATGGCGTATATTGTAACCAAACAGGAGTTGGTAAGTCGAAATACCTATTAGCACCAACATATCACTCTAAGAGATGCCAGCACGTAAAATAGAAAAATACTCCTTTGAAACCACTAGTTTTGTCAACTCCTTTTAAAAACAATTAGAAAGTGGAATGAACTTGATTTCATTATGATTTAATTGATACGTGGGGTTCAACGTCTCAAAACCATTATATGTTTATGAGAGCCGCCGTAGTAGAGGGCTCCGGAAATTTCGACTACCTGGGGTTTTTAACGTGCACCCAAATCTGAGCACACTAGCCTACAGCCGTTTCGCCTCCATCTAAAATGCAGCCGCCGCAGCCGGAATTCGATCCCGCGACCTGCGGGTCAGCAGCCGAGTACCTTAGTTACTAGACCACCACGGCGGGACAGAATGAACTTCCCGAGGATACAGTAAACTTGAGGGACAACGGTGCTTTTTTTTTTCTCATCGTTCCGAAATTATGACTCGGGTATTAAACGTTTTGTACCTGTTTTCCATGTGCCAAAATTTTGTTTGCATACTGTGATTGTTAAATGTCGTCACACGTTACTTTTTATTATGTCTTGGTGTACTATCACTGAAATTTCACTGGCTATACTGACTGTATATGCACCCTCCTGCAGTAATTCCACTGCAAATTGAGTTGCAGGAACTATGTAAATTAAAAAAAATAAGACCTGAGATGCCTTAAGAGACGCAAAAATATACCATCTGCGTCAACACCGAGGACGGAAAAAATTATCGCCATGAGATGGCGTCACAATATAACGTCACGATGACGTCAGAGATCACCGAAATTTGTGACTTCATCATGATGTAGCTATGACGTCCTATGATGGCGTCATCACGTGGCATCGTCGCTTGAACAAAGGTGCGCTTATCACGGAGGCAATGCAAAATCAGGTTAGGTGCAGATAGCGCGCGGTCTCTCAGATCCCGGGCGCAGTGGACGTATTGCAGAACCAAAAATCTTTAGGATGGAACCGGGGGATGATAAATATGCATCCACCGAAAAGAAAAGTGAGCAGGTGGTCTTCGCCTTTCAGTCGCTCCACACAAGTTCATAAAGAACCATGAAATTTTTTTTTCTTCTTACTAATGTTGAACCTCGGTGATATGAATCTCGTGGGTTAAGGAAAGATATTCGTATTATCCTGAATTCCTATCAACAGAAAACAAGATGAATCAGTGTGCAACAAAAGGAAGCTGGCGTAACAATATTTTACTTATTGTTTCTCAGGGTCAAATCAACATTATGAGCAGCTCTGAATGATAGCCTGTAAAAATTCTAGACGCCAACGATCATCCTTGTACTCGTACACAAACGGCGTATGCACAGAATAATCTTGATAACCCCTTCCTATTCTTAGTACGCTTTTTTGCATGACATTACAATTATGCGGGGAAAATAACCCAACGAGCGTTTTGCACATTGTAAATGAAGGCAAAGATTGATAATCATTACCTTTGCTGTCGTTTTCTTATCGCGGTGGTGCTGAAATGTTTTCGGGAGCTCTACAGCCGTGCCGCCACAATCGGGAAAACAGTGTGACCTAGCGTTTTGTAACGATACAAGTGCGATGGTTAGGTTAGATTAGGTTAGGAAATTCGTAGAAAATTTCCGTATCCCGTGCAAATAGGAGGGCTGCAAGAAGGCGTGCGCGTTCCCAACAATGGTGCATGTTGACGTTGCGAGGCCTCGCTCCTTCTCTGAGACCGTTCCCTTGCTCTTTCAGCCCTCGTCCGCCTTTCGTGGGGTCTCTGATTGCGAGAACACTGCGGGCAGGTGCGAATATAGTACAACATCGCTGCCTCGAGAACAACAACACACGCGTCGGGAATTAAGGGGGGAAAAAACGACGCATTAAGGCCTGACCACATGTACCCGTTGCATCGATCTCGGAGGATGAGACGTGCTGGTCATGGCGGATCGTGACAAACTGGCAGCGCGGTGCGAGTGTCCACGCTTGGCTATTCCACAGCCGCGCGAAATCCACGTGTCTTCCACGGAAGCACCTGTTCGAACCTGCGCGGTAGCGTAAGTTCGTATCAAACTTCGTGGGGCGAAAATGGTTCGCAAGAACCACGTTCTATTACGCTGGGGGCTAATGAGCCTTCACCGGAACAACAGCTAAATTCGTGTTATCCTAAAAATCAAACAAGCCGTGATAGTACCACCGAGGTTTCACAGTATCTGCTATGTGATACCCGCAAGGGCGCTTAATTTTACGTCTGTATTGCTATATTTTCTGTCTGGAGGTATATGTCTTTCGATTTCAAAACGAAATGAAAGTAAAAGAAGCCAATCCTCCATAACTACCGACCTTCTTAGTTTCTGGCTGTTTTAAAGCAGCGGTGCCTCTCCTAACCGTGTCATTAATCAAGCCATGCAGTACGTGTACATACCTTTCCAGACACGATGCATTCCTTCGTACAATCTTTGCCTCCCTACAGCTGCAGCAGGTCCGGCTCCTGCGCACGGGAAAGGACGAGAACTCATCGCAGCTGGTGGACAACTTCCGGCCCACGTTCCCGCTGAACGGTCGACGCGTGTTCAAGAGCTTCCCTTCGTCGGCCCCGGGCCTGGGACCCGAGGGTTTCCCTTCGGTACTGGTCTGTCTCCTTGCCTTGGGTGGTGGACGGATGCTGCTACTGCGCAAGTGAACTACTACTACTGCTGCTCGGGGTGCGGTGGCCGCCGCTGCTTCTTCTTGTTCCTCCTCCTCCTCAGACGCCAATTCGCATCTGGTCATCCGCGCGCTTTCTCGCACACTCACGAACACTCACAACAAACACGCAAAGACGCTCTGCGTGCGGCAGACCTGCCTACCTGCTAGACTGTTTCGTAGGACGTAGCGTTGATAGTTGTTCTCACGTACAGTAGGTGGCACCACCATCGTGAACGCAGATCTTGTTCTTCTATGGTCGTTCGCAGTGTCATCGTCGACCTTTCCGAGCCATGCCGTTCGCAAAAGAACACTGATAATACAGCGCTGTGACGTGTTGCGTACGCCTGTCTTAGAACACGGAAGTTCATCGCCAATCACTTTTCGGGACGTTATCTTTTTTTCCGCTCGATAAATAAGCCGACGGCCGCTGTCACGTCATCGACCAGGCACTCGATGGTGCCCAAATCAAGGCAATTCGTTGAGGCAATCTTTGTCGTTGCTTAAGCTGCTCGGGTTGCTTAGGCAATTCCTAACACTATCTCGTTGCATCTGCAATGACGCCGTGAGCAAGGATGCTCGGTTGACCCGTCAAAAAAGTTTGTGATATACGTGTGTACGAGGATCGGTGTGACGAACCGTGCCACGTCACTTGTTCCCGATGCTGGTTATGACGACGGCGCGTTTTAAACTGTTGGCGAGTAACGGTACCGTTTACTTTCTTTCCCCGTATCCGGCGCAGTTATTTGTTCGTTACTGGAACGTAGCGTCCTGTAAAAAAAAAGAAAAGAATAATATCATTATTGGAGATTATCTCCAAATGAGCGGAGCGCGTTCATTTGTTGAAATAGTGGCCATATTGGAAGCCGTGCGCAACCTTTCATCCGGTGAGACCACGCGTTCCTGTCTTGCAAGTCTCGGTGAACGCGACTGTACAGCCGCGGTCACGTCCTTGTGGAGAACAGCGAGCAGCCGGTTCTTGCTCTGCGGGCGTGACACCTCGAGGCAGTTTCGGGCTCTGACGTCGTGTATCAGGGACATGCTCGGCCTAGTTGTCAGGCTGGCCACGTCAGGGCCCGATACTGCCCCAAGGTTCCGCCCCGCACAGCAAGAACCGGCTGCTCGCTGTGCTCCACACGGATGTGACCGCGGCTCTACGTCTTCGGAATGCGGCCAGGATCGCGTCTGACGCCCTTTCGTTGTGGACAAACGCTGAAACACTGCATGCCACTTGGACTGCTAAAAGAAGAACTTTCTCGTGCACATCTATATGTTTAGATTACGCGTGCGTAGTACTGTCGAATATTGGCGTATTTTGTTAATTACGAGTTTTTTTTTTTTTTTGGGGGGGGGGGGGGGCTGTCGTTTCTTTTGAACAGGCGTGAGGGTTTTTTTTTGTTTTTTACCATAACCACGGTCTACTTTGCATAGCATGATCACTTAATTTTTTTTTCCCCAGACTAGTCAACGACGCCTGTATAGTAAACTCACTTCATAAATGTTAATGCGCCTTTCGGCATGTTCTGTGACGTTAGAAAATTTTAAATTCAGATCTAGAGCACGGCTCGATGTTTATTGTTTGCTATTTCGTTTTATAGATTGACATCTATAATCAACGGGCAAGCTATTCTTGACTGGAAAACTCGCCACAAAATCATTCGCCGTCGTGAATCACGGCAACCAGCAACGCCATACAGGACAGAAGAATGGCGATTTGGGCTAGTTGGTTTGAGTTCATGATAATAAGGGTTGGTAGTCAGCGCTCGTGTTGTCCTCTTTGCCTTCCATACCTCGACTTTCGTCTGTTTTTTCTAGCACATTCGTGCTCGCGCTGCAACCCTTATTATACAGGACAGGACATGAAATGATACCCTAGATAAACCGCGCTATAGACCGAAATCTGCATGTCGTCATCGTGAAGCAACCAGCCCGCAATTCTATTCTTGCGACGTGCCACGGGTGCTTCCATGCAGCTAACCATAGCAGGCATAGTTGATCACTGCAAGAACTTCATGATCTTTTTTTTTTTTCTTTCATTTTCCTTCTCTTGTCGAAGTTCACACTGCCCTTCGAAAACTCTTATTCCCTACAATGACCTTAGAAATAATGACTGTTGCAGTTTTATCTGTCGTCGAAAGGCGGATTTATCAGGCTCTCAAACGATACATTCACGGGCTTTTAAGACACTAAAATTGGGTAAAGCGAGTGCTTTTATGAAGTAAGTGCAATCTTGATGCAGTTGGCACTCTAGTCACTCTTGCGTCGACGGCTAGAAAAAAAGTGTCATGCAAGTTCCCCCCCCCCCACCACCACCCTTACCTCTTCAATTTTGTCTTTATATTCTAAGTAAAGTTCATAAAGGGAGAATCATCATCACAACAGCTCTTATCGTAACACGAACCTCGGCAATGGCGCATGTTCTAATTGAAATCGGTGAGATAACTCAATCGAAAGGCGGGGAGGAGATTGGGGAAGGAAGGCTATTTCACTATTGTTCAATTCCTTAGCATCCTCCACTCAGCTGCTTGCCACTAGATTCCCGTCCTCCCGTCACTGCCTCGCCGCACCGATGAGCTATAGCGTATAGGGTACAATGAACACGTAGATCTTATAAACAATTTCGTGCATTAGTGTACATTCACATTACACTTATTCTACAACATATCACTGCTGCCATAGCCTCCTAGATTTCCCTTGCCTGCCGGATTATCGGCGGTCACTTCGAAAGCGGCCGTCATCTAATGGTGGTGGCGCCACCTAAGTAGGGGGTGTTTTCAAATAAGTTTTTACGTTTTCGAACTTATATGCAACAAAAATAACGTAAAAAATTTAAAAAGGCGTAAACGTAATTATAATTAACCCTACGTAAGTGACGCCGTCATTCAACAGACAACTCCTTCAATACGAGGCATAGCCTCTGAAATTAGTAGCAAACGTCAAAGTTACCGATCTCAAAGGTCAAGTACAAAGACCTTTACCCCTACGTAAGGCAGCGCCGCCTATAGATGACCAGCGTTTCGCGCTCATCCGGCAGGCAAGGGAAATCTAGGAGGCTATGCTGCTGCATGCACACATACGCTGAAAGGTGCGTCAGGATTTCCAGAAGGATAACACCGCGCATGCGCACTTCCGTAGTGCCAAAAGAGAAAAAAAAAAGCATCAATATGAGTAGCAAGATCAGAGCGCGCTTACGCGTGTGGGTTATTCACTGCGTATACCTATAGATACGAGCTTAAATACAAAATGAAGTATAGAAACGTAGCGAAGAACGTTGGGAAGCTATATACAGACGAAGTCGGATATAACGAACACGAATAAAGCTGTATACCCTTTATATCGAATACGTTAGCTTTCTCTGGCCGCTGATCGTGTAGAATGTTCCACTTAAAGAAAACGGGGTTTTGTAACTGTAGAATATACGTAGCGATAAAGTGGGCGAGATTTGTACAGTCTAACTGGATATAACGAAGCCGGATAAAGCGAATTGCTCTCGGTTTGAGACGCGCGAAATTTCGCTGGCAAGTGTTAACGTAATAATAACTGTTTGATAAAGAACGGGACATCCGATCCATACAACTCCCTGCAACACTTCTGCGAATTTATCGTTCAACACTTTAAGATTCTCGCTCAGAGACAGATGCAGTACATGTTCCGATCGAGGCAGACCAAAACACGGTGTCGTGCATCATCTCAGTGACGATGAGAAACGATTGAAGGTAAAGAAAGGCTGCTGTCTAATTATCTATATTGCGTAGTTTTGTTTCCGGCATCAATGGAATGCCTCCTGAAAACAACAGATTCGTATATAACGAACACGTCGAACGAACTTCGCTGTATCGAATTATCCGATATACGGAACAAGCTTCACGAGCAAGCCTATTCAACGGTATAGCGAACCAGTTCCTGGTGTATAAGCCGAGTTGGTAGGAAGGGCCAGAACATGTAACATAACTTCCAGAAAACGTGGTATTTTCGGCGGCAAGTTTGAGGTGCCTGCTTGAATAATGTGAGACTGGGATTTCGTTGTTAGCTAAGCTGTACCTGCATGCCCCCTCCCCTTTTTTTAAGTTACGGCGCTTAACAATGGGGGTCGAAGTTTCAGGCATTCGCTTGAGTTATAGTCAATGAGTCATACGTCTTTGTCGTATTTCTATTTCGCTGTTTTCGTACGTTCCCCGGTGCAATAGTTAACACGTTCGAATCGTTCGTGGTAAGCTGATGGGTTGTGCGATTGAGAGAATGGGAAATATCACTGTCCAACTTTTTTTGTTCCTGCCGCTTTAATTCTCCTGTAAAGCCTTTGGAACTGCGAGAATGTGTTTACATGTGTAGTTTTTCTGAGTTCGTGTCCTGTTTTGTTTTGTTTTTTTTGTTTAACAGAACACACACGGCTATATAACTTGATGTTGCGATAGGATATAAATGTGAATGTGGAAACCTGAAGGCAAGCTCAGCTGAATGTTTGAATGTTTCGTCGTTGCCTTTCACTGAATGTTAAAAGCACGTTTAACTAAACTTATAGCGTTCTTGAAATCTCAACGTAGTTGCGATATAGTGTGCTTAAAATGTTTGTTTCTTCACAGTTTACAAAGCGCGACCGTCAGGTAATTATGTCACCCGTTTCGCAACGCGTGAAAAGTGGTTTATTATCTTGCCAGATTTCTTCTTAAACGTTCGACAACTTTTGAGAAAGCTGTGGTCTATGAAAGCGAGGCATGTTCGTGACTTTCCGGATGCCATGTGACTGCGTGCTGTTCGTTTTGCACGCACGCGTGAGTTTTCCGTGCGTTTGCGGCGCGTTGTGAACGCAGAAACGGTGCCGTGTTTATAATACATACGTATGGGTGTTCTCAGTTCCTGACGTCTTCCTCGCGAATCGTTTCGTTTACCCTTGCAGATCATACTTCGTCCGGTGTTGATTATTGTTGTTATATCGTTGTT